CTTTAATAGGGGCCTTCTCACAAAATTTTACCCCTCAGATTTTGAAAATCACATGATAAGAGGGTTGTGGGTCAAAGGCATTTATCTGGGGCTTTGGTTCTATTTTTGGCTTTGTCACAGACTTCTTGTGTACACTTGGGCAAGTCATTTGGGTCTTAATTTTGCAAACTCTTAACACCCATGCTTACTTTTAAGCCATGGGACTTCTCATGTTTAAAGTTAAGCATGTGCATAAGTGTTAGCAGTATTGGAGCTTTAATCTCTTTGTTTTATCCTCTCTATTTGTTTTTAAACTGTGTAAACAATTCCTTCCCCTACTCTTTAGGTTGATGTATTACCTCCTTGGACAGTCTCTTTATTATAAATTGGGGCCCTGATTCTGGTTCAGGTTTGAGAGTGTTATTACAAATATTGAGTGTGTTTAATATAGATTTGAGTTTTACTGTACAGTGATGTATGTGTTTTATTATAGGATGTATAGATCACTCTAGTCATAGTGCTTTTTTAATATGAAAAGTTTCTAGAGATATTATCCTTTTCTTCTTCCTAAGTATAAATGTGAATATCCTAAATGTATTTCGATCCCAGTTATGACAAATGTTAATACATTATCCAGCAATAGGTTTATAATGATGTATTGCTTATGTCGTACATGCTGACTAGCTACACCAGTAACTAGCATGTTTAGAATTTTAAAACTCTTGATGCTTTTAATATTCAAAGAAACTAATATTTTAAAGTAATTGTGTCTGGTAGAAAATGGGAGTGTGCATGGCCAAAATAATGCTCAAACTTTGAACACACTTTTCCTCAGAGAGAAAAATATGAATATTTTTCTATGAAGAAATTTACAAGACAATGGATCCATCAAATACTGCTCAACTAATTTCTTCTTTCTAGACAACACTGATTTTTCTTTTGTGCATGTTTTTTCTTTGTTTTTCTTTGAAATGCAAACAAAGCTTTTCCACTTCTCCTGAGGCTTTTTACTTTGAGTGGCCTGCTAGACCAATTTCTTTTCATAAGAACGGCCGTACTGGGTCAGACCAAAGGTCCATCTAGCCCAGTATCCTGTCTGCCGACAGTGGCCAGCACCAGGTGCCCCAGAGAGGGTGAACCGAAGACAATGATCAAGCGATTTGTCTCCTGCTATCCATCTCCAGCTTCTGACAAACAGAGGCCAGGGACACCATTTCTATCCCCTGGCTAATAGCCTTTTATGGACCTAACCTCCATGAAATTATCTAGCTTCTCTTTAAACTCTGTTATAGTCCTAGCCTTCACAGCCTCCTCTGGCAAGGAGTTCCACAGGTTGACTACACGCTGTGTGAAGAAAAACTTTCTTTTATTAGTTTTAAACCTGCTCCCCATTAATTTCATTTGGTGTCCTCTAGTTCTTCTATTATGGGAACGAATAAATAACTTTTCTTTATCTGCCCTCTCCACACCACTCTTGATTTTATATACCTCTATCATATCCCCCCTCAGTCTCCTCTTCTCTAAACTGAAAAATCCCAGTCACTTTAACCTCTCTTCATATGGGACCCGTTCCAAACCCCTAATCATTTTAGTTGCCCTTTTCAGAACCCTTTCCAAGGCCAAAATATCTTTTTTGAGGTGAGGAGACCACATCTGTACACAGTATTCAAGATGTGAGTGTGCCATAGTTTTATACAGAGGCAGTAAGATATTCTGTGTCTTATTTTCTTTCCCTTTCTTAATAATTCCTAGCATCCTATTTGCCTTTTTGACCACCGCTGCACACTGCGTGGAAGTTTCAGAGAACTATCCACGATAACTCCAAGATCTCTTTCCTGTCATAGTGTTAACACCTGATTTTCTGGTGTTATTCAACCACAGAGGATTCCCTAGTTGTCTGATTCACTTGATGAAGCAGGTGGGGCCTCTATTATCTTAGCTGTTTCTAATGCCAGAGACAGCACAATAGACTTAGCAGCTTCAGTTGCAGAAGACGGAGCTTTCCTCTCCATTGCTTTCAGGGAAGGCTCTGGAAGCTACCCTTTCAAGTAAGTTAAATGTTGTACAAGGAGTATTTAAAAATATTGCATTTTGTGTGATGATACTGGATGAAACATGTAAAAGGATATGCAGGAAACTAGAATATGTTCTGTAGGTTTTGCTGAAGTTTTTAATTGTAATGCTCAGCATGAATGAGATCCCAGAAAATGTGGTTAAAACAGAAACTTTTGTTCTTGTCTAATCATATGGGATTGAGCTTCAATTTATTGTAAGGAAAAGAATGAGGTACTGCTATTTAGCTAGCATGGTCCCTCTGATAGCTAAGATTTAACCCCAACTCTACAAAGACCAAGTCTCTAATCTTGTAACTAACTATACATAGCAAGGCTTTGTGCTTGTACAGAGCCTCTTTGGAATCTGTTATAGGAATGGGGCCTTTTGCAGGTCCTTAACTTTACTCTTTGAATGGTCTCATTTGCTTCAATGGCAATGGTCACAGAATCAAAAGAATCCAGTCTTTTGCCCTCATGGCAGGACCAAGCACTGTCTAGACCATCCCTGATAGATGTCTATCTAACCTACTCTTAAATATCTCCAGAGGTGGAGATTCTACAACACCGTTGCAAGCTTTGTCCACATATTTACTCTGCTGACATCATCATTGGACCTACCCATTTCAGTTATAAGAATATATGTTCCTGCTCATCCAGAAATATAATTTATGCCATCATGTGCCAACACTGTCCATTTGCTATGTATATTGTACAAACTTCTCAGACACTTCGCCAAAGAATTAATGCACGCAAAACAGACATCAGACAGTTTCACAAAGAAAAAATAGTTTCTTGCCATTTCAACCAGACTGGGCATTGTCTCAATGACCTGACTACCTGCATCCTGCTTCAAAGAGACTTTAACACAAGACTTCACAGAGAAGCCCCTGAACTGTCATTCGTGCTTTAATTTGACACTTTACGAATGGGCCTGAACAAAGATGCTAATTATTTTACCCATTACAAAGATAGCTTCCCCAATTATCACCTCTAATATCATTATCTCATAGACATTAACCTTCCCCCCTCATCCTCTCTCTGTTCTGAAATCTGATTTGTCTATTTTTTACGTGTTCACTCTCTTTGATTGTATCCCTTTGGTATATATGGTAATGCCAATTTTCTTCCACAATTTGATCTGAGGAAGTGAGTCTGGCCCATGAAAGCTCATCACCTAATAAACCATCTTGTTAGTCTTTAAAGTGCTGCATATTCCTGCTTTTTGTTATAGATAACTTGTTTTCCATTATTCCTTTCCAGTTCATCATCTGAAGAAATGGGTTTTGCCCACGAAAGCTCATAAGACCATATATATATTTGTTATTCTCTAAGGTGCCACAGGACTACTTGTTGTTTTTAAAGGGAAGAAAGAAATGGTGAGACAGACACAATCTTCCATTCTAGGGAGATTTTTAAATCTAAGTTAGTACAATGCCTCTAAGGAAATGTCCCAAGCAATAGAGAAATTCACCAAAAAGGAGTTGTAGATCAAAAGTATGACAATATTATATTTCTTTGACAGGCTTGTGATATCAAAAGGACACAGTATTTCCACACATCTTGAAACTTATTCTAATACTGCTACAAGTTACTTTTCCATGCTTCAAAAATTATTCTATACTCTTTTTCTCAAGTTCACGATGTGTTTAAATAATATATATTCAGGAATATGAAAAGAATATCTGTAATATCCTTGTAATATAAAGTTGAATGTGTTATAGCAGCATCTCTTCTTCATAAGCATTTAGACTATTACATTTGATAGCTATATATTAATGGCTTCTGTTTTCCCATTCCTTAACACCAAAGTATAATGCGAACAGTAATAACTTTTTCACTCAAACACTAATGTTTTTCTGCACATGAAGACTCCCTATAATTTTGTGAAATAAATAACACGTCCATGATCCTGCAAACTCTTGTGTACATGTTGGACTCCAGTGACATTTCTCATGTGAGTACAGTCAATTTGACTACTCATATGCTAAAGGGCATGTTCACACTTGAATTGCTGTAGCGCTTGAATGAAGATGTTCTAATCCAGTGGAAGCCAGCTTTCTTCTCCTTGTAGTTATTCCACCTCTCTAAGAGGTAGTAGCTATGCCAATGGGAGAAGCTTTCCCACCATCGTAGCACTGTGTACAGGATGGGGAGTGGGGATGGAGGAGGAGGATAGGGCAATATAACTACATTGTTCAGACATATCTATACTGATATAGGTCTGTCATATAGACTAGACCTGTGTATTTGCAGATTTCAGGCCTAAATCCTCTGTAATATATGATGCAGTCATTATGCATGAGCAACACTGAAACAAATTCTATTGTACAGGATGGTGGGGCTTTTGGGTTGCTGTTCAAAGGCACAGAAACAGAAATGCAGAATAACATAATTTACCTACTTCAGACAATATGTTCCACAGAAATGAAAGTTTAAAAAAAATGGAAATTCAGCTCTTTCTTATCCTGTGAACACTGACTTAAGAATGGGCTAGGGTACTCTAGCACAATGTTTTCTTCATCTGTGATTATTCAGCTTGATTCACCAACCCAGGCGGCACAATAAATTTTATATCCAAAAATATTTTAAACAACATTTTGTATACAACTGACAGAGCTATATTTCCCCCCTCAGAAATTCCTTAAATATTCTCTGGAGGATTTTTAATTGCTTCCACCAGACAGAAAATCTGTACTTGGAACTGAACAGCCCTGTACCACATTATTATCAGGCCAATTCTAACTAACAGACCTTATTTATTAGATTCTCCAGGGCAGACGCTTCAGGCATTCCATATTCAACTCATTGCTTTTCAGATCATACTTCACTCTCTTGCCTCTTAATACTGTGTGTGCACAGTACACAACACTTCATCTCAGTATCCAACTATTTCCAGAGAGATCTCTACTGGATTTTTTTTCAGTTCAGTTATATGTCCCTTCTAGGCAAATATAGTTGCTCTGAGCACACACATCATCTCTGATCAAGAACAGGTAATTGTGTACTGGATTTCCTCTCCATTTGGAAAATGTGGGGTTTTTTATAAATCTTTTCTACAGAATAATCTCCAAATTATATTTAGAAAAACATTTTTTTCTATTTGGGATTATCATGTATCATGACAAAAATGCAATTATACCATGTGCAATTACTCCTCTGTTCCCCCAGAGACAGATATAGCCTAATAAATTTAGGGAAACTGGTACCTTTTATTCTCACTGTTGATGAAAACCCTGATTCTATGTGTGCGGAATACTTTTGGAGTAAAAATGTCTGTCTACCAAAGTTAATGTTAACTATGTCTTTTCCTTTGCCAAAATCATACATGCATTCAAATAAAGAATGTATGATCTGAAAGCTTGATGATGTTTGTACTTCTTTAATTCCCAAGAAGTGAGGCCTTCCTACACAATATCATTCTGTTTGCTTAGTTCAGTCAATAATTTTTAAGTGGGATCACTTGTTCAGTGGAATTATTGAACTGTGAAGTGTAAACAGCTTCAAATCAGAAAGTTCACTTTCATTCACCTATTGGTCATCATCTAACTTGCCCTTATAATGAAAAGATAAATGTCCTTGTCTTGCTCTCATTCCAAAAGGGTAAATGGGTTACCTTTAAATGTACATGAAATCAATAGATTTTTTTGAGTAAAGTTTTGGGATTGGACCAGGTATATATGAAAGTTTTTATTTACCAATATCAA